CTTGACAGAGTGAACAGGAACCATTCATGTCCGGGCTGGCAACAACAACAACAACAACAACAACATTTGTTTACATAACTCGCCAACCTTCTACACACTCATTCGTTTATTCATTTAATCTTGTTTGCTCACCTCTCACTCTACATTAAGACTACAGATATTTTAAGGTAAGTAATGAGTGGACACGATTATTATATTATAGTTTAATAATAATATTATTATTAATATTAGTACATATGTATTATTGTAATAATAATAATAATTATTATTAATATTATTATTAATTTAGGGCACTGGAGCACAGATCCACTGTGTAGCACTTTGTCTGGATTATTTGGGTTATCCTAGGTAATTTATACTATGTATGATTACTTACGTGTACCAGAGAGAGAGAGAGAGAGAGAGAGAGAGAGGAGAGAGAGAGAGAGAGAGAGAGGAGAGAGAGAGAGAGAGAGAGGGAGAGAGAGAAGAGAGAGAGAGAGAGAGAGATGAGAGGAGAGAAGAGAGAGAGAGAGAGGAGAGGAGAGAGAGAGTGAGAGAGAGATGAGGAGAGAGAGAGAGAGAGAGAGAGACAGACACACACACACACACATTCAGTCAGCCAATCACCCACCTGGCCTCCCAATCACCCACCCGGCCTCCCACCCACCCACACGGCCACCCACCACCCACCCGGCCAAGGCCAGCCAGAGTTGTTTCTCTTTACTTAGGGTATAGGTTATACAACATTCTGGCAGGATGACACTACCAGTGGCATTCTCCCATTCCACTGTGTCGACAATACATAAAGATAACAGTAACATATGATAGTGTATGCGATGTAAAATTTACAATACAGTTCACTACCATGTATACATTATATACAGTAAATAAATAATTAAAATATAACAATAGAAGTAAATTATGGTAAAAAGAATGAAATAATGATTGTACATTACATTACAGTACTATGTAGGTAGTTTATATAGGAAAAATTTGACATTATGCCCTACCCAGTATGTCGGCAATTTTCAAAGGTTTGACTTACGTCCATTTTGACTTACAACCAGTTGGTCGGAACCAAGCTTGGTCGTAAGTCGGATGGTAGGTGTACATATAAAATATGCAATAACTTTAAAACACTTGACATTCTGGAAAATTTCCCGACATAGTAGAGTTGTGCTCACGGAGAATGTAAACAAACTGGGTGGGGCGTACCATATTTGAAAGACTGCTCGCTGTATAGCAAATTTTGGTCATAATTTGACATCGCCGTATTAGTGAAACACCGTAAAGCGCGACCCTACTGTATAAATAATGTCAGTGCATAATGTCAGTGCATTGTTCGCATCGCTATTTGATTGTTCGCATCGCTATTGGGCCGTGCGGACGTGCTGCGCAGTAGCTCCTGATTGAGTTGGCATTTGCGCAGTGGTGACGTGTACTTAGCTCTGTGAAGACCTGTTTGCGCGCTCTCTACGAATTGAAGCAAGATGCCCTCCATCGAGCAACTTTACCAACAGCTTAAGGAAGAATTGAGGATGGCGAAGATGGAGATTCGGCGACTGACCGAGGAAAACAAGAAGATTCGTAGTAGTCCTCCTGTTTTGAGTCCTCAGGTCAAGAAGGGAAACTGGTCAGTGGCTGGACAGCAGGGAACAAAGTTGACGATCAAGAAGACGAATGGAAAGGTAGAAACGATGAAGAAGAAAGAGACTGCCGTGGAAACTGTTGTGGAAACATCTAATACATTCTCAGTGCTACCCGACGAATGTGAGTAGACTACTGGGAACGTCACGACGAAAGACATTAAGGAAGGTAAGAATATTGTTGTTGTTGGGGATAGCCAAGTTAGGTATATGGATAGGACGTTCTGCTTGAAGGACAGGAGTAGGAGACAGAGAGTTTGCTTTCCTGGGGCTGGGATGGAGGATATTGTTAGCCGTTGGATGACATCATGAGAGGTAATGGGAGCAATCCTATTATCTGTCTCAGTGCTGGAGGCAACGATGTTGGCAGACGTAGGAGTGAAGACCTGATTAGCAGGTATAGGTCAGCAATAGAAATAATTAGGAGTAAGGGTGGGAACCCTGTCATATGTGGTATTTTGCCAAGGAGAGGAGTTGGAAATGAATGGTTGTCCAGGGCAATTGGTGTCAATTGCTGGCTGGACAAATACTGTAAGGAAAATGCGGTAACATTAATTGACAACTGGGACCTCTTCTATGGCAGAAATGACATGTATGCCAGGGATGGGGTTCACTTATCTAGGTCTGGGGTGGTAGCACTGGCAACTGCAGTGGAGGGAGCAGTTAGGACTTTGAACTAGGAATAGTTAGTGGTATGGGTTTTGGCAGGAAAACAGTGAAGTCCCAGTGTAGTATTATTACGAATTCCAGGGGAACTAGTAATAAGCAGAACGAGGTAGATATTGAAAAGCCAGGGACTTTGGGTGATAAGGACAGTAATAGGTTTAGTAAAAAAACAGAAATGAGCAGGAAGGGTAAAGAGAAAGGAGAGTCTTTCAATGTTTATTATGCTAATTGCCGTAGTGCTAGGAATAAGATGGACGAGTTGAGATTAGTTGCTAGTGCAGGTAACATTGATGTATTTGCCTTAACTGAGACGTGGTTTAATTAAAAAAGTCGGGACATGCCTGCGGAATGTCATATTCAGGGCTTTAAATTGTTCCAAGTAGATAGAAGTATCGGGAAGGGGGGTGGGGTGGCACTGTATGTCCGAGATCGCTTGAACTGTTGCATAAAAACGGGTATTAAGTCTGAAGAAACACAGAGTCTGTTTGGATAGAATTTTCAGAGGGGCATGAAAAACTGATTTTAGGAGTGATATACCAGGTCCAGGTACCGTCCCCCAAACTTAGATAGGGACCAAGGGAGACTACTATGGGAGGAAATAGTTAAGGCCACAAGGCACGATAATGTGGTAATTCTAGGAGACTTTAACTTTAGTCATATTGATTGGAATTTCTTGACTGGGAATTTAGAATCATACGACTTCTTAGAAATAGTTCAGGATTGTTTTTTGAAGCAGTTTGTGACAGAACCTACAAGGGGAAATAACCTGCTTGACTTAGTTATGGCAAACAATGAATCCCTTGTTAATAATTTAGAAATTTCAGAGGAACTGGGTGCTAGCGACCACAAATCAATTACATTTAGCATTGAATGGAAGTACGATAGTAGCGATAACTCAGTAACAGTCCCAGATTTTCGCTTAGCAGATTACGATGGGCTTAGAGAACACTTATCATCTGTTGACTGGGGTAACAAAGAGAGCTATCAATATGACAGTTTTCTGAACACTATACATGCTGCTCAAAGAACGTTTATCCATATAAAGAAATTAGATCAAATAGAAATGACCCAAAATGGATGAATAATAGGCTCAAATATCTACTAGGGCATAAGAAAGGAATTTATAGGCATATCAAAAGAGGTGAGGGTCATCTTATGAATCAGTATATTGACATTAAGAGGGACATTAAAAAGGGGATAAGAAAAGCTAAAAGGGACTATGAAATTAAAGTTGCTAGTGATTCTAAAACTAACCCAAAAAGTTTTTTCCAGGTCTATAGAACAAAAGTTAGAGATAAGATAGGTCCCCTTAAAAATAACTATGGGCACCTTACTGACAAAGAGAATGAAATGTGCTTGATTTTAAATAATTATTTTCTCTCAGTTTTTACACAGGAAGACACTAACAATATTCCAGTAATTAATTTTTATAGTGGGCTAGAAGAAGATAAATTATGTAACATCACAGTCACTAGTGAAATGGTTGTGAAGCAGATAGACAGACTGAAGCAAAATAAGTCGCCAGGTCCTGATGAGGTTTTTTCAAGGGTTCTTAAGGAATGCAAAATGGAACTCTGTGAACCATTAACTAATATTTTTAATTTATCTCTTCAAAGGTGTAGTGTCTGATATGTGGAAGATGGCTAATGTAATTCCTATTTTTAAAACAGGGGACAAGTCGTTACCGTCAAATTACTGCCCGATAAGCCTGACCTCAATTGTAGGCAAATTACTAGAGTCAATTATAGCTGAGATTATAAGAAGCCATCTCGATAAGCATAGCTTGATTAATGATACTCAGCATGGATTCACAAGAGGCCGGTCTTGTCTAACTAATTTATTAACTTTTTCAGTAAAGCTTTGAAGCTGTTGACCACGATAAAGAATTTGATATTATTTACTTAGATTTTAGTAAGGCTTTTGATAGAGTTCCTCACCATAGACTGTTAAAGAAAGTGGCAGCTCATGGCATTGGGGGAAAAGTGCTCTCGTGGATCGAGTCATGGCTCACTGACAGGAAGCAGAGAGTGTCCATAAATGGGGTTAAATCCGAGTGGGGATCTGTAACAAGTGGCGTTCCACAGGGATCAGTCTTGGGCCCGTTGTTGTTTATAATATATATCAATGATCTTGATGAGGGAATTACTAGTGATATGAGCAAATTCGCCGATGACACAAAGATACGTAGGATAATTGATTCAAACGTAGATGTTATGGAACTTCAGGAGGATTTAAACAAGCTCTATTCTTGGTCAGAAAAGTGGCAGATGCAGTTCAATGTAGATAAATGCAAGGTTCTGAAGCTTGGGAGTGCCCATAACCTAGTACTTATAAGTTAAATGATGTAGAACTTAGCCATACAGATTGCGAAAAAGGACTTGGGGGTTATGGTGAGCAGCAAACCTTAAACCAAGACAGCAATGCCTAGCGTACGTAATAAGGCAAATAGATTACTGGGATTTATATCAAGAAGTGTAAGCAACAGAAGTCCAGAGGTCATACTGCAGCTTTATACATCATTAGTAAGGCCTCCCTAGATTATGCAGCTCAGTTCTGGTCTCCATATTACAGAATGGACACAAATTCGTTAGAAAACATTCAGCGTAGGATGACTAAAATAATACATAGCATTAGAAATCTTCCTTATGAAGAAAGATTGAAGACTCTTAAGTTACATTCACTTGTTAGACGAAGAATGAGGGAGACCTGATCGAAGTGTATAAGTGGAAGATAGGTATTAATAAAGGGGATATTAATAAGGTCTTGAGGATGTCTCTCCAAGAGAGAACCCGCAGTAATGGATTTAAATTAGATAAGTTTAGATTTAGAAAGGACATAGGAAAGTATTGGTTTGGAAATAGGGTAGTTGATGAGTGGAACAGTCTACCTAGTTGGGTTATTGCGGCTGGGACTTTGGGTAGTTTCAAATTTAGGTTGGATAAGTACATGAGTGGGAGGGGTTGGATTTGAGTGGGACTTTCACATCAGAGCTTATTTCTTGGGTGGCATTGAAAATTGGGTTGGGCAAATGTTTTGTTAGTGGTATGAATTGTAAAGGACCTGCCTAGTATGGGCCAACAGGCCTCCTGCAGCGTTCCTCCTTTCTTATGTTCTTATGTGAATGCATATTAGACTAACCAGTTGGAAGTGTATTGGACAAGTGAAGCAATTGATTTACTCTGGAATATCGGCAAAAATCAAAGATTCCTGCTACTTTGAGCTCAATTTCAAGCTACTTTCAGTCCTGAAACCAATCAAAATCACCTCTTATTTCTGTAATATATCTTCCATTCTGTCAAATGAGATCAAGAAACCAAGAATGCAACCATAAAAACCATCTGAAAATACACTGCAGGGTTGCTACTTTAAACCAAAAAAAGTTTTTTCCCCCCCATTATTTACTGTGTGGGGCAGGATTATTTTTACATGGTACACACCTACCAGGCTAACCCATACTCTCATATACAGCGGACCCCCGACTTACAATCAGCTCCCAACTCGAACAATTATGTAAGTGTATTTTTGTAAGTGCTTTTGTAAGTGTATTTTTGGGGGTCTGAAACAGATTAATCTAATTTACAATATTCCTTATGGGAGCAAATTCATTCGGTAACGGCACCCAAACAGCCTCCTGTAACGAATTAATATCGTAAGCTGGGGGTCCACTATATAGGCCTAAATTTATCACTCAATGCTTATCTGAGTAAGCTGAGCTCATGGTGTATAACTACAGCACGAACTGAGAGTACAAACCTTTAGAACTATGGCATGAATGGCACAGGGGTTAAATTGTGGTTGTTGGCATTTGTCGATGATTGCGAAGAGAGTGGAGAGGGATACTGTGGCCCTACTGGGCTGAGGTGGAGAGTTATTGATTGTCAGCTGAGGTGAATGGTTGTTGATTGTTGGCTGAGGTTCTGTACTAAAGTCGATGGTTGTACTGGAGTATGGATAAATTCTGTAATGGATCTCTAGGCTCTTTTACCCTACAGTACATCTGTGAGGAAAAAGTTCATTAGATAGGAGTAGGGGAAGTATTAATGCACGGTGGTGGTCGTTAGTTGGGCATTCTGCTTGTTCAGTTAGGGTGGGTGCATAGTTCCTGCTACCCCCCCTTCTGCACCCAGTGGGAGTATACCTGGAGAGAGTTCTGGGGGTCAATGCCCCCATGGCCCAGTCTGTAACCAGGCCTCATGGTGCATCGGGGCCTGATCAACCAGGCTGTTACTGCTGGCCGCACGCAATCCAACATACAAACCACAGCCCAACTGGTCAGGTACTGGCTTTACGTGCCTGTGCAGTGCCTGCTTGAAGACAGCCAGGGGTCTATTGGTAATCCCCCTTATGTATGCTGGGAGGCAGATGAACAGATTTGGGCCCCTGACACTTACTGTGCTGTCTCTTATCATCCAAGTGGCACCCCTGCTTTTCATTGGGGGGATGTTGCATCGTCTGCAGAGTCTTTTGTTTTCGTAGGGAGTGATTTTCATGTGCAAGTTTGGTACTAACCTCCCTGGGAGTTGACGAGTGCATCTCTGACCTGTGGTGTTAGTCGCTAGACCTGTGGCTCCCATCAAATCTACAAGTATTCATTTCACTCCTGTCTATCATCTGTTTTGGTGAAGTTGGTTTCAACAAGAACTTCACTCTTGTTTAGGGTTTTAGACTCCAATTTATTCCAGCCTTGTTTTGAATTTATGCAGTGTTGTCATCTTAATCCTCACCATTTTTTCTAAAGGCTGTAAGCCTATTGTGTGAATGATTTATTGAGTGTAGTGTATAACTGTATGTTTTCTTCATTTTAGCCTTGATTGTCAGCTTGAGTCATCCAGCTCATGCGGGATAAAGATAAAGACAGCACTGATCTTGCCAAGATCAGAGATGTCACATGGACCTCTCTACCTACACTGGTCCCCCTTCCACACATAGCCAACCACCCAGTCAGCTACACGCCATTCAAGCAGCCTTCTCCCAGTTGTGACTACACCAGCGTTCATGGTGGTTCTTGACTGGCCACTTAACTGCTTCAAGAGTATTGTGGTGGTCAGAGGATCAGTCAACCTCTCCTTGGCCAAATATATAAGCATGCCGGGGACACTGTCTTCTGTGTCTACAGTCATGACCAGTTGTGACCCCTTTCACGATTCAGAGCTATGTGCCCAGAACATTGGCACAGCACCATCCTCCACTACGTTTTGTACATATCAGCTTTGAAACACTAATTATTTATATACAGCCTCTCCTCACTTAACGATGGAGTTCAGTTCGTAAGACCAATTGTGCAGGAATGGTATATAATGCCAACAAGATGAAATTAAGACATATTTGCAACATCTGGGTCTCTTTATTGTAGACATTTCGCCATCCAGTGGCTTTATCAATAAAAATTCCATGACATAACTTGAAGACAGTAGGACTATATACAGAAGATGAGGTAATCAGTCCCTCAACCTAGGAGTAGGTGCGAAGAGCACCGTAGTCGTGGAGATTCTGAAGCAGAAGCAAGGAGCCTGGCGCTTATATACTAACGTCAGGTGTAGCAGACAAGGGCATAGTCACTGGTAGGCGGGATTCCCCAGTGGAAGTAGGTCCTTCCCAAAGAGATGGGTTAGTTGTAGTAGTAGTTGTCGTAGTCATGAAGGTTATGTACATGTCCTCAGAACATTAAGATCGACAACACTCTTATTGCCAGCCATAATGAGGGCAAATTCCTAGGCCTGCACCTCAACAGCAACCTGAATTTCAGCACCCATATCCAACACATAACAAAAAAAGTATCCAAAACAGTTGGGATTCTCTCCAAGATACGTTACTACATGCCGCAATCTGCCCTTCTCACACTATACCATTCACCCATTTATCCCTATCTCACTTATGTTATTTGCACTTGGGGATCAGCTGCAGCAACACACCTAATGCCAATAATAACCCAACAAAAAGCCTCAGTAAGAATAATCATGTAATCCAATCCCAGGAAACACCCCCCCCCCCCTCACACTTCATAGATCTAAACTTACTCAATGTTCAGAACATCCACACTTACTACTGTGCAATCTACATTTACAGAACCTTAAATTCCAATATTAACCCTGACCTAAAACACTTTCTTGATAGTTGTGACAGAACCCACAGGCATAACACCAGACACAAACATCTCTATGGCATTCCCCATGTCCGGCTAAAGCTATACAAAAATTCAATGTACATAAAAGGGCCTAAAGTCTGGAACACCCTACCTGAAAAATCTAGAACTACAGACACATTCATCACTTTCAAAACTCCCACTAGAAAACATCTTATCTCCCTGACACACCCTACCATCAGCTAACTACATGAAAACTGCATATTCTCTTGCATCATACCCACATAAAAAACAACCTAGACCTCTCCTCGATATCTGTGATTCCCCACAATTCGCACCTACACTCGCCCAATTGACTATAAACACAGAAATACGTAATACAGCTATTACCTAATGAATCTTAACTGGTCATAAGTTTGCCTGTGATACTCCAATATAGGAGCTTCAATAGAAATTATGTGTTGTACCAAAACAAAACCATTCACATTGCTAAATTTATGAACTGTAATGCAGTTACTCAGCCTTAATACCAATATGCTCCATAATCTGTAATAATAGAGTTTTGAATTAATCATAGTCCGCCCAAAATGCCTAGTCATGCTAGGTGTGATAGTGGCCCTCCCTGTAATTAGTTTTATATAACATGTAAACCACACAATATCCTATAGTATGTAAACACCACATTGTAATCTTCATAGAGAATAAACTTGATTTGATTTGATTTGATTCTGATTAATTTTCAATCCCATTGTGGCCTTTGACTAGCAATGCTAGCTACCCTAGAGTTGTTGGACTTAGGGTCTGGTGTGGCCATGGCAGCCACCCCTGAAGTGCTGGGCCTAGGGTTTGGTGTAGCCATGGTGGACACCCCAGTTGTGCTGGTCTTAGTGTCTGGAGTGGCATGGGGGACAACCCAAATGTGGTGGGCAGAGGGTAATCTGGGTTAACATTGAGGGTTGCATTATTTCCTTGATCACTTGTGGCCACATTCATCTAGAAGGCACTAAACTTGAGGTCAACATCACTTTCCTTGAATATAAGTATTTATACAACAGGGGATGAGTGAACAGCTGGTGTCTGCCATGCTGTTTGACCAGCTGATGCTGAAATAAACTGGCAGTCCACTGCCAAAGGCCAGACAGACCTAGGCCTATCTGGCACCAGAGGGCCAAATATGATCAACGTAAAGAGGGCTATCAAAGAAGCATGGATCAATGCTGTGACATAACTGTCACAGCACTGATCCAAAGAATAAGCATAAAGTTGTAGGAGGCACGATTGCCTTCACACTTGGAAGTTGGAAGAAGCAAACATGAACTGTCAAAACTTTACAAAGAGGGATGGAAAAAGCAATATGCAGGTGAACATAAAGTGGAGGTAAATTAACCCTTTAATTGTCAAGGAGTTGATCTTCATATTTCAGCTAGCTCTCCAAGCATTGATCAATGCACTATTTTTCCTGCATCCAAATTTGGTAAAAAGTACAGAATTGGTCTGCACACTCCACATGTGCCATATTAAAAAATCTGTGATGACACCTAAATTGACATGACAGTGTCCTCCATCAAAGATACTGCAAGACTCCAAGCGGACATCAACCAAATCTTCAAATGGGTCACTCAAAACAATATGACGTTCAACCAAGACAAATTTCAGCTACTCAGATATGAAAAACTTGAGGAAATGAAAACCAAATCAGGGTATGTAACAAATTCTAACCATACAATAGAGTGAAAAAGTAATGTGAAGGATCTGGGAGTGATAACGTCAGAGGATCTCACCTTCAAAGACCACAAAAATGTATCTACTGCATCTGCTAGAAAAATGATAGGACGGATAATGAGACCCTTCAAAACTAAGGATGCCAAGCCCATGATGATCCTCTTCAACTCACTTGTTCTCTCTAGGCTGGAATACTGCTGTACACTAGCTGCTCCCTTCAAGGCAGGCGAAATTTCCAACCTGGAGAGTGTACAAATAACTTTCACAGTACACATAAGTATGATACAGCACCTAAATTACTGGCAATGTTTGAAGTCCCTTGATTTGTATTCCCTGGAATGCAGGTGAGAGGGATACTTGATAATAGAAAATCCTAGAGGGATTAGTACCAAACTTGCACAAGAAAATCACTCCCTATGAAAGCAAAAGACTCAGCAGCATATGCAACATTCCCCCAAAGAAAAGCAGTGGTGCCATGAGTATGCTAAGAGACAATGCAATAAGTGTCAGGGGCCCAAGACTTCAACTGCCTCCCAGCATACATAAGGGGATTACCAATAGGCCCCTAGCTGTCTTCAAGAAAGCACTGGACAGGCACCTAAAGTCAGTACCTGACCAGCTGGGCTGTGGATTGTACATCAGTTTGCGTGCAGCTAGCAGTAACAGTGTGGTTGATCAAACCCTGATCCACCATGAGGCCTCGTCTCAGACTGGGCCACGGCAGCAATGACATCCAAAACCCACTCCAGGTACTCTCCAGGTATGTAGTATCTCATGGAAGAACCAATTCAATTAAACACCAGCTAGAGCAAACAGCATGGCAAACCCCACAAATTTACTAATGCCAAGACATATTAACACACTCCTTTTCGAGGAAATTGATGCTGACCCCAAGTTTAGTAGATTTGAGACAAATGTGGCCACAAGTGATTGAGGAAATATTGAAAACTTCAATGATAACCCAGATGATCCGCATGCAGCATTCGTGCCACATCCTTTCAATTTTGAAGCCATTGATAGTGGCATCCTGCCAGAATGTACTATCACCAACGAGTCCCAAGAGTTAGTCAAGAGAGAGAGATTAGAGTATTTCCAGCTACTTTGATGAGCTGCCCATAAATCTGATCATCAGCCAGATGAAAAGACATTACACATGTTGCAGAATCATCATGGTTGCACTAGTGCAAACATACAACTGTGGCCAAAATATGTCTATTCATTACCACATTCATGTTTATGCCTGATGTTACAAGCACAATACAGAACAGTACTGGTTTACAGACTACCACATCAGTACCCCAAACTTCCACGACCGCCTCCCTTGCAACAGATTCACGCTTTTGCTATGAGTATTGCATGTCTCAAAGACAGGAATACACCCAACATAAACAACCTGCTATACAAAATCAAGGAAGTGTTTATGAACCTAAATGAATTAAGTGCCTACTTCGGCAATGGCCATTCACTGGCAATTGGTTACTTCCCTATGTTCACTGATTTCCTCCATGTGAACAATACCAGTGTGTGGAACAGTGAGAATCAGTGCAAAACATATGCCAAGGCTGACTGGGGGCATTGCTGATGGTGTAGTGCCCCTTTAGCAATGAGGGTGCCACTTTGTCTGACACTATGCTTCAAGGAGTTTCATACAATCCAGCACTTCTGAAAACATAGCCAGGACCTGTAAATAATTTGTATAAATTTATAGATAATAACATGTGACCAAGGCAGGTGAACACATTCACCTATCAGTGTGTAAATGTGTCTGTGACTGTATTGTGACAGGGAAGGATTGCCAGGTGTTCAACATCTTTCACAGTAACAAAGTGCATTCTTTTCTTGAAAGCATGGAAGGACACAGTTTGACCAACATGCCTCACAAGTGCCTTGCTACTGTCATTATCAGATAATCAATAGGTGTCACTGGCTGAATGGAAAAGAATTTCATCCAAGATTGTCTCCGAAATACTTTATGAAAGGAAATACGAGTTGTGCCCCACTAGATGCCACCTTCCAGGGCCCTGAAGATGGTCCAGCATGTCCCCAGATAATTCAATTCCTATGTTTAACAGCACCACTGCCGAGGCTCACAATGGAATGGGACGAATAACGATCCCTTTTACCCACTGCCTAGGAGGTGAAATTCACAAGGAGGAAATATCCTCAAATAGAGGTAGAATGGAGAGAGGAGAGGAAAGGTGGAGGTACCAACCCATGACTGAGTGATTTTTGAAGATGCTATTTAGTGTTTGCCATTTTATACCTATCATATAAGCTGACCTCTCAGCTTAAAAAAAAAAAAAAATGAGCATCAAAACTCCATTTGTACACTGGGATTTATGGTACACTTGGGAGATTGATACAAATTTTCCTCTGTTAATTTTCATGCCTCTTACCATATCAAAAATTGGTAAGATGTTAAATGTAGGGAAACTTTTATAATTCCAACGTTTTGCCTATGCTCTGGAGGACTTTATCATCTGTTAGCATTTGACACCTCGCTTCTGCATGCAGATCAGAAAAATTTATTATCTTCTAATCATACACGGCATTGGCAATATTTCTTTTCCCATATGACTTTTGAAATGTTTTAGTAAATTATATTTCTGTAAGAACTCTTTTAGAAATTGAACACTGATGCAATTTCTCCCTTGTATAAATTTTCACACATTTTTTTTAAATTTCTTTTTTTTTTGTTAAAGTCTTTTGGGCATTCTAAAAACTGATATGATTTTCATTCAGTGTGAACTCTTAGGTGACTTATTAAATAAGATTTATGAGAAAAGTCTCTTAGACATATTGAGCACTTGTATGGTTTCTCTCCAGTATGAATTTTAATATGGTTTATCAAATTAGACTTAAGAGAAAAGTGTTTTAGACATTCCGAACATTGATATGGTTTTTCTCCAGTATGACTCTTAATGTGTGATTCTAAATGAGATTTTCGGGAAAAGTCTTTTAGACACTCAGAACATTGATATGGTTTTTCTCCAGTATGAATTCTTAAATGTTTTATTAAATCAGATTTCTGGTAAAAGTCTTTTGGACACTCTGAACACTTAAATGGTTTTTCTCCAGTATGAATTCTCATATGAGTAATTAAATTAGGTTTATTTGAGAATTCTTTCTGACACTCTGAGCACTGATAAGGTTTCTCTCCAGTATGAATCTTCTTGTGTGTTTCTAAGTAAGATTTTCGGGAAAAATCTTTTAGACACATTGAACACTGGTATGGCTTCTCTCCAGTGTGAGTTCTTATGTGTTTTATTAAATCAGATTTTTGCATAAAGTATCTGAGACACTCAGAACATTGGTATGGTTTCTCTCCAGTATGACTTTTTATGTGACTTACTAAATTAGATTTATTTGAGAATTCTTTCTGACACACTGCACATAGGTATGGTTTCTTTCCAGTATGAATTTTCTTGTGAGCATCTAAGTAAGATTTTCGGGAAAAGTTTTTTAGACACACTGAGCACTGGTATAGCTTCTCTCCACTATGAATTGTCATGTGCTCTTTTAAATTATACTTTTTGGAAAAACCTTTCAGGCACATTGAACACTGATATGGTTTCTCTCCAGTATGAATTATCATGTGTTTTATTAAACCAGATTTATATGAAAAATCTTGTAAACACTCTGAACAATGATATGGTTTCTCTCTAGTGTGAACAATCATGTGTCTTGTTAAACCAGATTTATATGAAAATTCTTTTAGACACACTGAACACTGAAGTGTTTTTTTGCCATTATTAATGTTCGTACGTGATACACACTGAGACTTCGGTGAAAAGTCTTTCAAACACTCTGAATATTGATACAGTTTTTCTTCTGGTTGAACTACAATTTGTGATGCTGGAACAGACTCTTGTTCATGCACGTCAGACATACTGAATGAACACTGATTTAATATCTTTTCATATGAATCATACAGTGCTTAACCAGAACACGTTTTTATGAATATTTGTTCACAATAAAATCCCCATTTCTCTAACAAAGTGAGCGTGTTTGATAGGAGTGAATGGAGACAAATGGTTTTTAATACTTGACGTGCTGTTGGAGTGTGAGCAAAGTAACATTTATGAAGGGGTTCAGGGAAACCGGCAGGCCGGACTTGAGTCCTGGAGATGGGAAGTACAGTGCCTGCACTCTGAAGGAGGGGTGTTAATGTTGCAGTTTAAAAACTGTAGTGTAAAGCACCCTTCTGGCAAGACAGTGATGGAGTGAATGATGGTGAAAGTTTTTCTTTTTCAGGCCACCCTGCCTTGGTGGGAATCGGCCAGTGTGATAATAAAAATAAAAAAAAATATATGGAAGTGCTATGCATGTAAGGATCATACAATGCCTGAGACACAGAAGGGTAACTTCAAGGTCTTGGATAAAGAGCACTTTATTACCAGCATGATACTTCCTTTATGAAGACTTCTCTGGTACTCTATATGAATTCAATTCTTTGTTCCTAAAGATTAAACAACAGTTCTGAAATCACTAATGTTGATATAAATTGTATTTTATACCCTCTTATGCTTGTTACAAAACTAGATTGATAATGATCATCAGGTCACTAAATAGTACAATGTATTCTCTCTACTATAATCTTGATACACTGCTACAATGTATTCTCTACAACAATCTTGATACACTGCTACAATGTATTCTCTACAACAATCTTGATACACTGCTACAATGTATTCTCTACAACAATCTTGATACACTGCTACAATGTATTCTCTACTAGTCTTGATACACTGCTACAATGTATTCTCTACTACAATCTTGATACTACATATACACTCAACTTATAGTTACAACGGCCTTACATAAACTGACTTATGACACACGCAAAAAATGTGTTATATTGAGTTTTCCTACAAGGTATTTAAGTTAAATTTTCTATAGCAATAAGCATTTAATGTAGGAAATAAATTGTATATAGTTTGATAAATATAATTATTCATTCAAAAATGAAACTTCAACAAATGCCAGACAAAGAATGATCCAATGATTGTGAAAAGCAAAAATATTATGGAGAAAATAAGACTACATGAAATTATTATATGTGGGAGCACTAAGCTGGTATACTGAAGATGTTACAGTGAGACAGAAGAGGAGGGTGAAGCGAGGGACGGAGGCGGGGTAAATAAGACAGATAGAAAATTTTTTACTTAAAACATTGCAATTACTTTTATAATTACTGCTGCACAATGGTACCTATACCATAATACCAGATATATATGTTAATGACTACTGCATAATAGTCACATAAACAGTACCTTCCCATTTATACCAGATATACAATTATAAGTGCCACACTGTTCATACAAACAGTACTTCTTCATAATACAAGCTATACACTTTATTACTACATCATTTTCACTACATAAATGATACTTTCCTCGTAATACAGCCCATTTTTGTCCCCAAGAACTACAGGTGTTCAGAAACTGACACTGAGCACCAGGTCAAAATAATGTCAATAAAATGAGTGTGGTGCACAATATCAAATCTACATTTATTAATACTACACTTTGGACACATAGTATCTACACCATAATACAAGCTACAAACATTAATTACTGCCGCACAGTGGTCACATAAAACGTATCTTAACCATGATACAGTTCAATAGTTATTACTCATGTTCAGTAATCACAAAAACAGTACCTTCCCATGCCATTAATACATTTAACTTTTACAGTACTCATACTCTATGCATAGCCATTACCAAAAACTTCAAAGAAATCAGGTACATAAACTCTTAAGGGATGAATTTTAGCACAGTTCATATTGATTCTAGTACTTGTGTAGCAGTGATAATGATGTACATAAGACTATCTGAATGAACAAGTTTCAATAGACTGCTAAGGATGTAACAGGATTCATGTTACAAGAGATTTATGACACTGATGTTTAAACTGTAAATGTAGTATTTCTAACACTGCAATTACAGAGTGCTGTCACTATACACATTTCATTATTTATGCCACTTACATGAGCCTTATGTTACTGAGTACTGGAACTCCATGAGTAGTATTTTTTCTGGTGCAAGGGTCAACTGCAAAAAAAAAAAAAGAAAAAAGAACTGACATATTAAATAGAATATAAATTAATACATATCAATAAAATCTACAAGGGCACTTGCATCCTTTAAATTTAAACCCTTTAATTGTTCAGACTCTCCAAAATTAAACTTGCTCTCGGTATCCAAAAAATCCCCCACCTTCCCTAAACAGAAAAAAATATTCGGAAATAAAAGAAAAAAAATTTTCTGAAAGTAATGATATCAAAAGTACGAAGCTGATGAACACTGGCACAAAGTTTGCAGTCTCAGAGAAATTTACGCACCAGCAATTCTGCCCACTTTGAGTCCTATTTTAGGCCAATTCCATTTTTCAATCAACCAAAATCTTTAGCAACTTCACCACTATGCCTTTCATTCTATTGACTGAGCACAAGACACCACCCATTCAACTATTTCAACTACCCTATAAAGTGATCAGAATTCGGTAATTTGGCTAATTTCACATAAAATTAAAAAATGCCAATTTAAAAATAGTCCATAATTAACAATGTAGACATACCTGGCATTAAAACAGCACTTCCTCTGTTCATTAATCACGTCCCCAGGACTATCCTATATTACACTTGCCATCCCCAGGCCTATCCTATATTACACTAGTCATCCCCAGGTCTCTCCTATATTACACTGGGTGTCTGGAACGGATTAATTGGATTTACATTATTTCTTATGGAGAAAATGGTTTTGGTTTTCGTGAATTTGGGTTTTTGGCAGACTCTCTAGAATGGATTAATCATGAAAATCAAAGGTCCACTGTACCTTATTGCATACTGATATAAAAGTTAGGTAACTGAAGTGATTAATTAGATTTATAATAGTGAGGAAGTACAGAACATATAACAATATTACAATTAGTAAATTTAGTAATGGGAATGATTTTGTCTTGGCATGATACACTGTTTCTAGGACTATTAACAATGCAAGGAATTCGCAAGAGCAGGCGAAATATACACAAACACTTATCTCTGGCTGAAGGAGACTCGAACCTACGAACCTTGGGACAAGGTACGCAGTGCTTTACCAATCTACCCACACTGGACAATACCTTGGCGTGTAGCTTTTGATACAGTAAACCACAGCATCCTACTCCACAAACTTGATCATAATGGCATAAGAGGCCACACACACACTTACATATTTCAAATCCTACCTTACTAACAGGCATTAATACATCTCTATTAAGGACACAACCTCATCAATAAGACCACTGGACAGGGAAGTGTTCTTGGTCCCCTGCTCTTCCTCTCATACATCAATGCTCTTCCTAATGTATCACAACACCTTAAACTTATTCTCTTTGCTGATGACACGACTTATGCCATCTCCCACCCGAATCTTGCCTCACTCAACACTACTGTTAACAAAGAGCTTGTAAAAATATCGACCTGGATGACTACTAATAAACTTACACTTAATATTGACAAAACCTGCTACATTATGTTTGGGAACAGAACAGGTGTTGCCTGCCCAGAGATTTTTGTGTCTGGTATTGTCTATGGGTCTGTTGCAACTATCAAGAAAGTGTTTTAGTTCCGGGTTAATATTAGAATTTATAGTTCTGTAAATGTAGGTTGCACTGTAGTAGGTGTGAATGTTTTGTACAGTGAGTAAGTTTAGGTCTTTGAAGGGTGGAGGGGTGCGTTGCTTAGCACTGGATTGTGTGATAATTCTTACTGCAGCTTTTTGTTGGTTTATTATTGGCTTTAGGTGGGTTGCTGCTGTTGATTCCCAAGCATAAATAGCATAGGTGAGGTAGGGATAGATGAGTGAATAGTATAGTGTGAGTAGGGCTGATTGTGGTACGTAGTAATGTATCATGGAGAGGATCCCAACTGTTTTGGATACTTTTTATTATTGTGTGTTGGATATGGGTGTTGATTTTCAGGCTGCTGTCAAGGTACAGGCCAAGAAATTTGCCTTCATTATGTTTAGCAATAAGAGTGTTGTCAATCACAATGTTGAACTGGGCTGAACATTATGAAACAAGAGGGTATATAAAAAAAAAACCTGGAAAACACTTTCTTATCCTGGGTTCTAAAAGCTGACTAGAACCAGAGATATTGTCCTAACTGAACCCAGTGAACCACATCTCCAGCCTATTAAAACAGGCAATAAGTTAAATGACTTCTTCTCTACCATAGGATCAAATCTAGCAAACAAAATTCCAAGTACTTACACCTGAGTGAGTGATTACCTAGAGATGCAAACTTGCCAACATCCTCTATGAGCCAGTAGGCTTGCTGCAGTGTTCCTCCATTCTCATTTCGCTCCAACCAAGCCCACTGAAATCACTCTGATTATTAATTCACTGAAAAATAAATCAGGAAATTTAGCTTAATTTTCAGCACTACTGTTCAAAAGAGCAGCTTACATCCTTTCATCCACCCATTACATTACTATTCAACAAATCGTTAGAAACCAGTACTTTCCTGGTATTACTCAAGACAGCAAGAGTTACTCCAATAAACAAAGGTAGAGACCCAACTGATATAAATAATTACAGTGGACCCCCGGTTTACGATATTATTTCATTCAAGAAGTATGTTCAGGTGCCAGTACTGAACGAATTTGTTCCCATAAGGAATATTGTGAATTAGATTAGTCCATTTCAGACCCCCAAACATACATGTACAAACGCACTTACATAAATACACTTACATAATTAGTCACATTGGGAGGTGATCGTAAAACAGAGGTCCACTGTATAGGCAAATATCTAACTTACCATTGTTATCCAAAATTTTTGAAAAAGTAATACAGGAGAGCCTCACTTTACAACATTTCACTAAAATAAAATTTTTTATTTAGTCAGACTTCCCACAATAAATATATTCACCATTCACTATAAGTTAAGAATGAAAATACAGTAGGGCCCCACTTATACGGCAGGTTAGGTTCCAGGCTACTGCCGTAAAGCTGAAATTGCCGTAAAGTGGAACACCCTTTTTTTCCCCTTACAAATGCATTCAAATACTAGATAACAAGTTTACACTAACATATATTAAGTTAGCAATAGAACTAGGCATCAAAAAACAATAAAAAAGTACAATACACACACAGAGCACTCATTACATACCTTAAAATATTTGTAGTCTTAATCTAGGGTGAGACAAGTAGTATTTATTGTAAGAAATCAAGTGTGGTATGTATGGAAGTCAGTCGGGCTACCATACCAGGCTAACCAACCCACACATAATATTCCATTACATTTAAGCATCCCAGAGTGATAAAATGCATATACAGTTCACTCATTACTTTTTTTTTTTATTAGCACACTGGCCTATTCCCACCAAGGCAGGGTGGCCCAAAAAAAGAAAAACTTTCACCATCATTCACTCCATCACTGTCTTGCCAGAAGGGTGCTTTACACTACAGTTTTTAAACTGCAACATTAACACCCCTCCTTCAGAGTGCAGGCACTGTACTTCCCATCTCCAGGACTCAAATCCGGCCTGCCGGTTTCCCTGAATCCCTTCATAAATGTTAGTTTGCTCACACTCCAACAGCACGTCAAATATTAAAAACCATTTGTCTCCATTCACTCCTATCAAACACGCTCACGCATGCCCGCTGGAAGTCCAAGCCCCTCACACACAAAACCTCCTTTACCCCCTCCCTCGAACCTTTCCTAGGCCGACCCCTACCCCGTCTTCCTTCCACTACAGACTGATACACTCTTGAAGTCATTCTGTTGTGTTAGACAAGATGTAAGATTAGAAACATTGGACACAAAATCTGTTTGGCTACGGTTTCTCGAAGGTCATGAAAAATTAATTTTGGGTGTGATTTATAGGCTCCCAAACCTTGACAGGGAGTGTGGTAGGCTGCTATGGGATGAAATTCATAAGGTATCTAGATATGAAAATGTTGCATTAATGGGAAATTTTAACTTTAGACAAATTGACTGGAACAACATGACAGGAAATCTTGAGTCGAGTGGCTTTCTTGATACGGTTCAAGACTGCTATTTAACCCTTTGACTGTTTCAGGCCCCTTTCTGAAACTCATTCTATGTCGCTCAATTTTTGAAAAAAAAAAATTATTTTTTCTTATGAAATGATAGAGAATCTTTTCCCGATGGTAATGACACCAAAAGTTCGAAATTTGGTCGAAAACTCATGGAATTATGCTCCCGCGAAGTTAGCGGTCTCGGCGACATATGTGTATCGGCGATTTTGCCGACTTTGAGCCCTATTTTCAGCCAATTCCATTGTTCCAGTTGACCAAACTCATAGCTATTTCTTTAGAACTCCATTTTATCTATCAGCTGAGTACAAGAAACCTCCCATTTACTAATTTGGACTACCCAATATGGTGGTCAGAAATTGGCAATTTGGCCAATTTCACGCAAACTAAAAAAAGATGCCAATTTCAAAATAGGGTCCAGAATAAACAAGGTAGACATTCGTGGCACTAAAATAACATATGCTCTGTTCATTAGTCACATCTCTAGGCCCCTCTTATATTATTATTGCTTTCTATTTTGATTTTTTATTCATACAAAAAAATACAAAATTTACTGTTATGCAGACTACTGCATTATTGTAAAAATGGTATAAATAATATCAGTGCACTACTGAAAGAATATCAGACTCCCCAGTTGACGTGTATTGGACGTGTCGTGTGATTTATTTACTCCTGAACATTGGTAAAAATCGAACATTTCCGCTACTTTGAGCTCAGTTTCAAGGTCGTTTTCATCGTCAAAGTAATGAAAATCATCTCTATTTCTGTAATATGTTTTCCATTTTATCACCTAAGACCATGAAAACACGAATACAACGATAAATACTATACGAAAATACACCTCAAAGTCGGCGTTTTATTCCAAAAAAATGATCAGAGTTTTTTTTTTCTCATTACGCAATGTGTGCTGCAGGATTTTTTTATGTGGTGCACACTGACCACACAGACCCATTTTCTCACATGTGGGCCTACCAGCTTTCTCCCGCTTGATTTGAAGCCGCTAGAATTATTGAGTATACAGTATATACATCAGAAACATTGGCTCGTAAGACATATTTATACGTCGAAAACAGTCAAAGGGTTAAAACGGTTTGTGATAACTGATTAGAGGAAACAGTCTGCTTGACTTGGTTCTTGCCAACAAAATTCACTAGTTAAAAATGTTAACGTTAGTGATGAGCTAGGGGAAAGTGATCACAAATCACTTAGTTTCAATATATCACGGAATTACCCAGATAACTGCAATCAAGTTGCTGTCCCAGATTTGTGTGTCAACTTTTCAATACCTATTTCCTCAGTTTTTACTCAGGAAGATACAGTAGGGCCCCACTTATACGGCAGGTTAGGTTCCAGGTTACCGCCATAAAGCAGAAATCTCCGTAAAGTGGAACACCCTTTTTTGTCCCTTATAAATGCATACAAATACTAGATAACAAGTTTACACTAACATAAATTAAGTTAGCAATAGAACTAGGCATCAAAAGACAATAAAAAAGCAAAATACATATACAGTGGACCCCCGCATAGCGACCTTAATCCGTGCAAGAGGGCTGGTTGTTATGCGAAATGTTCGGTATGCGAATGAATTTTCCCCATAAGAAATAATGGAAATCAAATTAATCCGTGCAAGACACCCAAAAGTATGAAAAAAAAAATTTTACCACATGAAATATACATTTTCCTACACACAAAGAGAAGGATACATGCACAGTAGTAGAGTAGTACATGCACAATATATATTGTGCATGTACTACTCTACTAAATGAAGAATAAATGACACTTACCTTTATTGGAGATGCAGCAATGACTGATGAGACACTGTGTCCTGGGAGTGCCTTTTCCTCCTGAGTACTGTAGGTCCTGTTTGGCATTTTCTTCCAGAACAGGCCTTATCACACTGTGTATGCCACTACGATTCTTAAATCTCTCAAACCAACCTTTGCTGGCTTTAAATTCACCAATATGAGCACTAGTTCCAGGCATTTTTCCCTGTTCACCTGGGTGTTAGTCGACTGGTGTGGGTTGCATCCTGGGAGACAAGATTAAGGACCCCAATGGAAATAAGTTAGACAGTCTTCGATGACACTGACTTTTTTGGGTTATCCTGGGTGGCAAATCCTCTGGGGTTAATTGTTTCTTGGTATTCTCAATAAGCCACACCAACAACGGTGCTACAGCAGCAGCAGCAGCTGACGGTGGTACTGCAGCAACAGACGATGCTACAGCAGCAACAGACGATGCTACAGCAGCAGCAGACGATGCTACAGCAGCAACAGACGATGCTACAGCAGCAGCAGACAATGCTACAGCAGCAACAGACGATGCTACAGCAGCAGCAGACGATGCTACAGCAGCAACAGACGATGCTACAGCAGCAGCAGATGATGCTACAGCAGCAGCAGACGATGCTACAGCAGCAGCAGACGGTACTACAGCAGCAGCAGCAGCTGACGGTGGTACAACAGCAGCAGCAGCTGACAGTGCAGCAGCAGCTGACAGTGCAGCAGCAGCTGACGGTGGTACAGCAGCAGCAGCAGCTGTACCACCAATAGTAGCGATGGTTGATTGGGGTTTATTATACAACCTGGCCAGCTCGGAGACACGCACTCCACTTTCATACTTATCAATGATCTTTTTCTTCATCTCTATAGTAATTCTCACCCTTATTGCTGTAGGGTTGGCACTAGAAGCTTTCTTGGGGCCCATGGTCACTTATTTTCCAGAAAAAATCACCAAAAACACTGTAATAATACGAAATGTTCCGATTGTATGCTTGGATGTTACCGCGGAGGCTGGCTGGTAAACAATGCCACCGGCGGAACATGTGAGCGTGGCTCAGGCCGCACATTGGACGCGTCTCGGACGAAGGGCGGTGAGCGGGTTTTTGGGCGGTATGCGAGGCAAAATTTTTGCGATCAAAGCGTCCGGTATGCAGATTGTACTGTATGCGATGCGTATGGTATGCGGGGGTCCACTGTACTATAGCGCACTCATTACTTACCTTAAAATATTTGTAGTCTTAATCTAGGGTGAGACAAGTAGTATTTATTATAAGAAATCAAGTGTGGTATGTATGGTAGTCAGCCGGGCTACCATACCAGGCCACCCCACCTACACATAATATTTTATTACATTTAAGCATCCCAGAGCAATAAAATGCATATATAGTTCACTCTTTATTTACCTTAAAATATTTGTAGTCTTAATGTGGGATCAGGGGTGAGTAAACGAGATAAAACGAATAAATGAGAGAGAGAGAGAGAGAGAGAGAGAGAGAATGAGTACATGAGGGAGGGGAGGCGCAGAGTTTTGTAAACAAACCAGGCGAACGCAAGTTTTGTA